CCATCCCACACGAACCAGGGCTTCAAATCCCCACTCCTTTGAGGGGTGACATTTTGGGTCCCAAAGACGGGTCGAAAAAGGGTCGACAACGTCGAACGAGGATGGGGGAGGGTGGGCTGTCTATTCCCCAAAATGGGACAAAACATCCCCCCAATTCCATTTCAAACGGGGAGGGGGATATTGAGACAATGTCGTCTATCTTTCTAGGGGGCAACCCTTGGGACAGATTTTGAAGGGAGTTGAATGTAAATGCGTCGGGAGCGGTGCCACAAACCGCCTTGGTGGGGGGGGCACTTTGAAAAAACTTCCACTTCGTCGTAGCAAACATCGCGTTTCAGTGCAAAGTCGTGGAGTGCCGGGATGGATGTCACTTGGGGCCTGGACTGAGCTGGACAAACCAAATCTCCATCCTCTACAAGGGTACACACCCCCTCTCAGCTACTCTTCATTTCTGTTTCTTGATATATATATATATATATATATATACGTGTTATTCTTCTAAACTGATGTTACTTTGGCATCAACTACTTCGCAGTCAGCGTCCAAAGGTTCCCGGCATTGCTTCAAACCCCCGAAAAAGTGAGCAGTTTCCTTGGGAACCGAATCAGCAAAGCTCCAACTTCAGCTAAGAAAGGCCATCCCTCCCACACGTAAGCCAAGGTGGGTATGCCCCTTTCTTGGTTTTCAGGGAAGCCACAAAGGAAAACCACAATTTTCGGGGGCACTGTAAAAACGGACACCATGTACGTTGGCCTGCCATCCCAGAAATTGCTGGAGGAAACTGCCTAGAGAACACCCAGGTAAGTTGTTCAAAATGGAAGGTCCAAAGGTTGAACATCACTCCAAGGAGGGCTCGCCTTTCATTTGCATTCCTCGCAAATTGCCTTGGAAAGAGACTTCTGCGGATGCTTCATAAGGCGGCTTAGAAGGAAGCTTGTCAGGAGACCTACAGGGATCTTTAAAAGGTGCCTTGGAAGCTTCTCCGGGCCGTAACAAAGAAAAAACAAAAAGAACATGAAGCCGCCCCAAAAGGGGAAACAACTCCTCGGAGCCCTGCTTGATCCATCGCTTGCGCGTGGCCGCGAGGCTCGAAGGATCTTGCCGAGCGGCGCCTTCTAAAGCCGCCCTGCGCCAAGGAGCTGGGGTTCTTTCAGAATTTCATGCACCGAAACCTCCCCAAAAACCGGGGGGGGGGGGGGGCAGCATAAAAGTTGCTCAAGTCAAAGAATGATGGCTGAAACTGGGTTGAAAACGGAACATGTGGTGCCTGCATGGGATGTAGGGACATTTTTTGACTTTTAGAGGTGTAGAACTCGGCTCCCTTCGCGGGTTCCCCGGCTCTCACGGCTCCCCGGCTTCCCCAAAAGAAACGAAGGCCATGTTTTCCAGCCTCACTTGAAAGAATGAAAGAGGGAAGGAGGGAACGCCCTTTGGCAGAAACCAGGCATCTGCAGGGCACATCGTCGCCTGTGACCAAGCTGAGGGATGCACCCGGCTCGCACTCCTTGTGTCCTGAGCGGGTTTGGACATGTTCAACAGCGCACCTTAGCCCATCTTACCCCTTTGTGTTGTTTGATGCGCCAGGCCATTTTGTCGGGCACTGAATCTTGAAATTCGTGGTTTGGGGCCAGGAGGGTTAGGCGCGCTTGTTTTGATTTTGTTTCAAGAAACAGGGCTTCAAAAACTTCAAAACCCGCTTCCACCAGGGTTCCGTGAGGCTGGGCGTTGTTATGATTATCTTTGCAAGCGGGAAGCCCACCAAACGAGAAGGGCATTTAGAGGCAGGTCAGGACAAAACAAAGCTGAGAAACTCCAGTTGTGCCGTACTAAGCCCAGCACGAAATTGATCAATTGCACCCGTGCCCCACCTACGGCAGGGTGAAAGTGGATGGCACCATTCCCTTCATGCGGGTAGCCGCAGAGGAAAACGAAAGAAACATGGCGGGGAATTGAGCCATGTGCGTTCACCCAACTGTAGCTTGTCTCATCTCACATGCTCACTTCCTCCGCGTAGTTTACATGGAATATGAGTGACAACAGCTTCACAAACGGATTTCAAGAGCCTGAAAGTTCGGCGCCCACCTCTTTTTCTGGAGGCATCCCAAATCACCTGAACAAGGCGATCCCTGTCACGGAAAGTAACATGATCGATCCTACATGTCCCTTTCACAACAACGGGCGTGTAAGTCCGAAGAATTAAGGTTCCAACGCCATTTGACCTGTCCCGGAAGCTTCCGCCAGAAAAAGATCGTGCAAGAAACGTCCTGGCTCACATCACGTTCAAGACACTTACGGTACCCGCCCTCACCTCCAAGCACCACTTGGATGGACAGATATCAGAATCCCCTCTTACGGGGTGAGGGGATGGCGCTACTCCTTTGGCCAGACGAAACCAAGCTGCTCTGATGCTGCGCCATGTGCCGCTCAATGTGAATGACGATACCTTGGCCGAACGGGCGGGAACCGCTTGGATTGACTGCCTGAGACTGGGCAGTCCAGACCTTTGGTTTGTTCCCGGAAGCGAGAACCTTGGCATCAGGAAAACCCAGGCAAGAGCGCGATCTGGGCATGTGAGAAGCTTACATGTTTGACCCCCTCCCACTTGCCCGGTGTTGAGAAAGAATTTGAAGCCCCCGTTTTGGGCCTGCTTCTCATTTAGAGGGCGCCCCACCCTCTAAACAAGGAGAAGAAAAGGCGCCACTCTTTTCAGCATCGTAAGTAACGCAAGGGCAAGATCTGGCAAATGGCCTTTTGACTAACCAGCAGGTGAAACTGAAAGCAGAAACTGGCGGTTGCTTGCAGCATGGCCAATGAACAACGCGAGCAAACCCAACCCATCAGCAAACAACGCACAACAACTCTCACCAACACAAGAACAGTCAACTAAACAGCAAATATGGTTGCCCATTGCCATATAAGGGAATTAGTTGCTGGTCTGTTTACAAGCGTAGGGCAAGTGGCTCGAATACAAATGTGCAAGAATCAAAACTCCCACGTCGGCGACGGCCACGGCTAGGCTGCTAACCTTTTGTAGGTCTAATGGAAAAACATTTGTTTCAAACAAGTCTAAGGGGAGATTCAGTTGCCCCAAAAACCAGCCACAGCCCTTTGGGTATGTGTCAACATGGCGGGGCACCACACAAAATGGCTTCGGTTTCCGACTCAAAATCACATTCCCGTTTGCAGGCGGGCGACGCAGCACATTCCTTAGCTTCGGCAACATGCTGCAACTCATTCCGGTGGACTTCTGCCACTTGACTCCAAAGCTCAGCTCTTCACTAATTGGTGGCTTGCAATTGTGGTTTCATACTGTGGATGGACGAAATCCTGCACCACTTTGAATCCACGGGAAGCCGTTGTTTGTGGGTATTTACAGGTGAATCATCATTTCAGGAATTCTGGGGTGGTGCGAAATGGATTTCGTCCACCCACAGTAGTTTGTTGCTTCTCTTTTGCCCTCTAGAATCAGGGGTTCAACCCCCCAAGCCACAAACGAAGGGCTCCTCGAAACCCGCGAATTTGCCACCAAACCGCGGTCTTAATGTTCACCCCGGATTGATAAACCCCTGGTTGGGTGTCCCCTTTTAGTGGGGCTTCATTAATCCTGGGTCAACATTACAAAGCAACTCGAGGCACCCGAGGAACCAAAACACGGAGGTTCCAACATGGTGGTCGGGCCCCAGTTCCGCGTCTTTTCCTAGATGACCTACACGTCTGCCTCACGCAACCACGACCTACGCGTCCGAGACGTCAATATTGCTATGAACAAGCCCACACGAAAGTTTGGCAAATCAACACCCGAAAGCAACAATTTTTAGAGGCATCTCCTTTTGGGGTCGCTTTATGTTTGGGAGAAGCATTTGTCAAATCAACTTCTGCACACTTGGCGTGAGACGGCAAGAAGTACGGCACCCATGGAACGCCCCCCTGTAGCTGCAGGAAGCTCCACAACCCCTCAGGCAGTCCATGCTAGTTGCCCTCCAGGCGAGCAGAACAAATTGGATGACGTGGCCTGTGGAGGAATGAAGGCTATCCTTGCTTCCTGAGTGGCCGCCCCCTCCCGCCCCCCCCCGCTACAAACTGGTAGTTTTAAGTGATCTGCTGAAAACCAGCCTAGGGGTTGAGACCTTTTCCATTCTTTTCAACCATTGCTCCTTAAAAAACACCCGTCTTCCTCCGGGTGTTTGATGGTTTCCTGAAAAAAAAACTCCCTGGAAAGAATGGAAATGGAAGCTTCCCCTGGAACCAAGGAACGGGACTTGCAGATTAACATGGAACCTAATAAACATCTCTTGGACCCCTCTCAATTTTCTGTTGTTTGTGTTTTTCTTTGGCGGGGGGGGAGGGCCCATGTTACACCAACAAAGGAGACAGGCCAGATTTAGCAAAGCCTGCTCCCAACACTTTATCAACTTCTGGCGACTGGAAATGCCAAGCATTGTTAGGGTAATTCGATGGAAACGCAGGCTTTGGAGGATGCTGGCATGCCACCGTTACTAAACTAGTAACTAGGATGGATTGGTGCAAATTGCTCTTCCCCTAGTATTTATATATATATATATATAGTCTGACCAAAAACCTCAGTTCTGTGCAAAAACCTGTGTTTCAAGAGGGGGGGGAGCCCCACCTTCCCAAAATGAGACCCTAAGCCTCAACATTTCGAGGACACCGGGGGTGGGGGAGAGGGGTAGGAAGCGGGGGCGGTGTGATGCAGTCATTGCTGGTTTCCCATGCTTGCGCGGAAACGGATGGCAGCTCCGCGCAAACACACTCGCATGTTTTTCCTCTCGAGGTGATTCTACTCCACGGCGCCCTGCACTCTTATGATTTGATTTCTCTTCGTGGCCCAGTAGCCAAGGGAAAAAGGACACTCCTTTTGGCAGACTTGCGAGGGAACCGAACACAAGCGAAAAAAATCGCATCTGACATCTGCGCAAGTGGGCGATTTTGCCTTTGGAACTGCGAAAATTCCAGGCTTCCAGGACTTTTTTTCTGCTCCCTCAGTCGGACTTGATGGGAGTGTATGGAAGAGGCCCCTCGAGGGCATCTTCGTCTGGCTTGGGCGGCTCGCCCAAAATAGGCACGCCTCTGTTCATGGACTCCTGTGTCAGCTTCCTCGGTGAAACCGGAACCGGTTACCATCTACCCACCGGGTAAACCAGGAGACGATCCATGGGGGAGGGTCCCTTCATGTAAAAAATGAGTTGCCATACCTTGCTTGTTCCATCCACCCACCGGGGGGCCATGGGGAAGCGTCCCTTCATTCAAAAACAATTGTTCATTTTGTTGAGCCAAATTTGGAGAATCAAACATGCTTGGGGGCAACACTGACCCCGCTAAATCATTAGACCCCTGGAAGAAACCGCTGCCTCTTGGACAAAGACATGTTTGGGGAAGCCCCTACATTCTAGAGGGCAATGGTTGTGCGTTTGGAAATGACCTTTTTTGCTGGGCAACGGAAGATCAAAGGTCTTGGTACCCTCTGAGGATGGTGTGTGGGAAGGGTCACAGATACCAAGGGACCCGGAAAGTGCAAGGATTCCCCTGAAGGTAGGCCAATCTTTCCCAGGGTCCATTTAAAAAACAAAAACGGAAGGGCATCCACCGCGCTGCTTGCTGCAATCCAACCAGTCAGGTACTTGGTCGTAACTACATCAACCGCGTCACCAGCAAGTACATGTTGCTTTTGCTTGCAACATTTAGCGTGATGCTGAAATCCTTCAACCTTACACTTGTTGGGAACATGTGGGCCCTCAAATCCAAGACTCCTCACCTATTGCCACCTTACCGATGGACAAGCAGGCGGGGACAAAGTGTTGCTTGCAATAGTTAAGAACCTGTACCAAAAAATACAGCATCTTTTTCTCCAAGACTTGCGAGCCACCTCGTACGGAGTTGCAAAACAGTGGTTGCCGTGTGAGAAACTGTCATGTGGATGGCTCACGCCCCCCTCCCCGGTTCAACTTTTGCATGTCAGCTCCCCGAACAATTGCCCTTTCCCAAAAAGAAAATCGAGTCTAAAGATCCAGCCAACAATAGCCAAGTCATGCCATGTTCGGAAGGCTGCGCGCTTCTTTTTGTCACCTCAGGAAACCCCCCTCGAGTTGCTTCCAAGGTTTCTAAAGCTCCTGTTTCAAACATGCTCCGCCTGCACGGGAAGAACCATGGATGATGAGCAGGGAACGGACGTGAAAGCCAGTTGTTTCGCATCCACTAAATGTCTTTAGCGTTTGAGGTCGAAACATGCAAAAATCAAGTATTCAAAGATCCGCATTATCCCGCATCGAGGGTTGCCCTAAAAGGGGGGGGCATGGCAGAATATCGCAACATGTCAAAGCCGCTTCCCACTTGCTGAGTGGATTGGCAAACAAAATGTACTTGCTGCTTGCCACTGAAATGATCTTCCCAATAAGCATCAAGTCCAGGAATCCTTGCAACAAACGAGGCCGAGATCCGCGCAGCCATTCCCCTGATCACAAATGAGTTCATTCCCCACCAAGTGAAACACCCCTTGCTTGGTTGGTTGGTTTCGGTTGTGTTGGGTTCGGTCGCACTGCCGAGTTTCATCATCTCCTCGTCATTGTCCAACATCTCCAGACCTCGCATCCGCACGACCTCTGCGCCTTTCCGCTCTTCCTCTGTCTCTGCGAGGCTCGCCATATTCCTCGCAAGTGTCAAGTAGCTGTACCGTCCCCATTTCTCTTGAGGCATCCTGCTCTCCGAACACTGACCAGTGGCCTTTTGGAAAATGGTGTGGTTTTAAAGAGAACGCTGGGATCCTTGTCACGTTAAAAGTCAAAACCAGGACCAGACACCTTTGTTGCGTTTCCTCGTGGGCCCAATGTGGAGCCCATGCAAGATTGGTCTAGGTACATGTTTCCGACCATGAATCGCAACCAAAAACCTGGGCTTCGAAAAGGGCGGGAGACTGGAAGTGCGACAATTATCCAAAGAACTTCGTGGTCTGGCGGGCTGCGGGGCACACACCGCCCCGCTGAACTTACCTGGTAGATTTCAACTTTGGGAAACTGCTGGACAGCTTCCAAGCAGCTCATGCAAACCGTGCAAGCAATGCATTCACCAACCTGCAGGCACAAACTCCCATAGCCATTTGCGGTCCCTTGCATGTGGATGAATGAACGGGGAGCGCGGCATATCCCTAGTGGAGCCGTTCCAGGTCAGACCTTTCCCTCTGACAAATGGGCACGAAAAGTGCCGGGATTTTGCCCAACACAACATAGACCAGCAGACATCTCTTGGCTTCTCGCGGCTTTCGAAGAGCATCTACAGCCTGAGACCACAAAAGCGCGTGTGAGAAGTGCTACGCTTGCCAACGCTGCATATCCGAGTTCCTAAACACGAGTACGCGTTATTTGTGGTGCGTTTGCATACTCCGGACTTCGCGTCCTCTGCGCCTGCGCCTCAGTCCGGGCTAACCCTCCACCCCCGTCAACCCAATATGTTGTGTCGTTTGTTCCAAAAAGAACCTTTTCCTTGTAAAAGTGCTGCGTCAAAGTCTTGCCAGAACGTGGTCGGCAAATCTAGTTTGTTGGTCCGAATGTTTGGGTCGGGCAAAGTCGCCTTTTCGTCTTTATCCAGGTTTCGCAAAACAGCAAAATTCGCAAAAATGCACTGAGGCCGAAAAAAGGAACCGTTTGCACCAAAAGGAGCCGTTGGCCCAAACAGCACAAAACATGCAAACTGAGGATGTATATGCGTATACAAGTGAATATACATCTATGCACATATGAATGTATGTGTATACAAACCTCCTTCCACAGGTGCCCCACCCACACAGAACACGACATCGAACCTATTCACCAGCAAGGAGCACGTGCTACTTACACCCGCTGCCTAACAGGAAGAATATTGAGTACTGAGACTCCTGAAGCAACAGCAGTGCGAGGCCACCCACGTTGACTTGACTGGCCATAGAAATGATGAAGAAAGCACCCCACGCACCATGGAAATGAGGATTGGATATCTCGCATGTGCCTAGTTCCTAAGACGCAAAAGTGAACACAGGATGTTGCTACCTGAACAAAGGGACACTGTTTTACAGTTTTACCCCCCAAATCGGTGCATTCTTTCTTTGGCCGTCGCTCTGGGGAACCTCCTCCAAATAAAAGGCGCAAAGGCCCCCCACTGGAGAACTGAAATCGATCAAGCAGGCTGCCGGCTGAATTGAAAAAAGCTCTGCTGCCCGGCGTCTCAAAAATCTTCCGCAGCATCTGTGCCTTCTCCTTCCGCTTCTCACACCGCTGCTCGTACCTCAACCCACGGGGTGTTTGTACCTCGCATTGTTTCGTGTGGGTTTTGACAAATTTCACCTTGGGATAAAGGGAAACAAGAGAGAAGGCCACCAATGTTCGGGTCAGTTGCCTAGCGACCCTGGTAGAAACAGGTAACCCCATTCTTGGGATCGATCCTTTTGTGAGTTGACTTGTGTGGGTCGATCTAGGCTTCCACCAAACAAGCCTTCAGCCTCAGCCAGATCTTGGCCCAAATCTGGGGCACAGAAAGGGCCAAGCGCTTGACTCTGTTCCACACTTAGTTGCCCTACCAAAATGTTGGGAGCCCCCAGTGTATTCTACGGGCCTATGGAAAGCAGGGGAGGTGTGTCATGACCAAACTGCCGACAGAAGCACAGCTAAGTCATAAGCACGGCTACCGCAATCAACACATTCAAACGCAAGCAACGCCCCGCCATGCAACCTGTCATGTCACACAATAAGATCGGATTTTACCCAACACCATGTAAATAAATATCCAAAACGGGAAGGCTCTCCGCCCGTTTTAGGTCCCATCCACGAACCTGGGGGTTCAGGACATTGCTGTACTGGGGGGCTCTGAGAGACCTCAGGTTGATGTTTGAACCCAAATGAATAAAGCCATCCTTCAAAGTGAAAGGTGTCACCATACATGCGAAGGAATCCGACCAGCGGTCACGCTTATTCTTGGGGTATACAGGAAATCAGATATTCTGTTGACTTTCGTTCTTTTCGTCTACCCGGTGCTTTTGCAAAAAAGCCCCAACTGCTAGTTCCTGGAAAAATCAACCTATTTCCAACTGTGAAATCGATTCCCTTTAAAACCGAAAAACAAAATAACATGTTCGTTTCAGAAAATGGAAGCCACGAAACCAACTGAGAAGCTCCAAAACTAAAGACCCGCATGGCTGGGCAGCCTTACAGAAATACAAAGGCGGCTGCAACTATTTATGGCAAGGGGGTTGTCCCTTACTGACCTTCATCTACCCGAGTTTTGATTGTGGCTGGGCACCCCCCTAATATTGACCAACAAATGTGGGACCGGGGGGGAATTCACCCCAATGAAAATCAACCAGTTCTGCTTCATCCGGGGTTAACATTGCTGGGTTCCTCTTTGGCTTCAGGGCTGCCTGACACTCAAGAGGGATTCCCCGTGTTAAGGGCAGCTTTCTGACCTTCATCTACCCAAGTTTTGAGCACGTGGCTCGCTTGGGTTACCCTTTAACCAAAATGTTTGGAGCCCGCAGTTGATTATAGGGGGCTATGGAAAGCAGGGGGAGGTGAGGTTGACCAAACTGCCGACAGAAGCACCTTACTGACCGTCATCTACCCGGGTTTGATTGCACTTGGGGGTCGAGGTGCAGCGTCTGGGAGGTGGCGGTGGCGTCCTTGGCCGCCTTCACAATGGCACTCTTCGGCACCTTCTGGCCGTCCGTGGCGAAGAAGCCCCGGTTGGACAGCACCCGGCCTCACGCTCGGAGAGGGAATCGAAGTAGGACGCCAGCGAAAAAAATCGGCGCTTTTTTTGCCGGGTGAGTGAAAAACACAAGGGACCCCACAAAAAAGCAACAACAAAAAAGGGGGGAGCTAATTCTGGGGAAGTTAAGTCGCACCAAGAAGCTCACTTGCCGAGTTTGGGGCCCGGAAACTGAAGGTTGAGCTTTCTGACCTTAACTAAAGATGGTGGCCAAGGCCGGAAGACCAAAGTGTCAAAAGGTCGATTCCTTATGGGCGACTGAGACAGGGGGAAAAACGCATAAGAAACAGAGCAAAAACCATGAGCTTTTCCAGGCTTGGTGGCGAAATTTGGAACCGCATGGAGCCTTGAAAGAATAATCTTGTTTAAAGTGGCTAAACCTAGGGTTTGCTAAGTTACATGTTCAGCATATGGAGGGAGTATATGGAGGCCATCTGCGCACCCCGGCAATCCCAGAAAATCCAATGTTTTTTTTGGGGGGACCTCAAGTAAGTGCCAAGTGATCGCAACTTGGGGGGAAATGTTCCGTGCTCTAAGCGCAACTAGGCGTAGAGGTCAAGTTCTTACCTCGATGTCACTGGATGAATCTATGCTCCAGATATTAATCCCCGTTTTGGTTGAGTTCGGTTTTGACTCCAAATGCAATATGTGTTTTGGTTGGTTTATGGTTGACACATAAGGAAAAGAAGATCGTGTCCGGGGAATACTTCCAGGCGGGTTGTTTGCTGGGCCCCTAGCAGCTTTGCGGGTTGCAGCTGAATTGTGTCACTTACCTGTGTCTTGTTCGCTATGGGGTTTCGTTCTGCCTGAATCAGCAGCCAAAAGGCTGGCGCCCTGCCTTCCACAGTCTGATGTGAGTGGCACAATTTTCAGCGAACCCGACGCCAACCTTACTTTCAGCTAACCAACCAACCGGAGCTGTTGATGTTGCCGCCGCGTCGCCAGGTCTCTGGGGCTGTTGATCACCTTCTCTTCTATTATTTTAGCGGCCTTGGGGGTTGAACAACAGTTGAATGGGTGCCCCAATTCCAAAGGCAGGTCCATAAGACGCGCCCAGAAACTTGGGAAGTGAGTTGGGGCGCCTGTTTTTTTTTCCTATTTGCTTCTCGCTGGGGTCCTAGCGGGCTGCTGCGGTATAACGCAACCCGAGTTCTTTTTTTCCCTCCCCGGTCGTTGACTTGAAACAGCTTCCAAGCGGAAGTTGGCTGCTTGGGGCTGGGGAGGTCCGCTGGTTTCCATGGGACCCTTTTGCGCTGTGCAGTATGGCCTGGCCAACACGTTTGACCCTGCCAGACCCACACAAATACGGCGGGGTTTCCGAATAAAGAAAGGAAAAGAGGTCTTTCGTGCCCCTCAACGGCAACATGATGTTGTTATTTTCCATTTCGACCGCATGCTGCTGGGCAGATTGCCGTTTCAGTTGCCAACACACCAACGGCCGTATTTGCTTCAAAAACGGCCAAACACAAGAACGAGGGTGTTTCCACGTCACCCTCTGACCGATAGTCCCAACCCCAAATCACCAGCGGTCGAATTCCCATTTTTATGGGTAGTTCAAGGGGTCCAGGTACCATGCAAAACAACCAACCCCAAACAGCCAAAGGGCAAAAATGGGTTCCCATAAATGGAGATCTCCAAAAATTATTCAACCCTCCCCCAGCTCTCCATTTTTAAGCCCGGCGGGGAATCCGATTTTTTTTCCGGCACGCGGCCGGACCACTCGATGTCTTTGCCGTCCATATCCGCCACTTCGGCCCCCGACTCCTGCGCCACCAGCGCGCCCGCGGCGTGCTCCGTGGTGCGCAGCGTGAAAGTGTCGTCGTAGAGGCCCTGGGAGAAAAACCCACTGGGTGGTCAAAGGTGGTCCTTCTTGGGCTTCTGGGGTTGCTTCTTTGACAGGGGTCACTATTGGTTGTGGGGTGCTCCCTTTTTGTCGGGTTGGTTCGCTATGCCATTTAGGCCAAGGAACCAGGAACTGAAATATGCCCTAGTTGGAGATTCTTCTTTGAGAAGTGTCACTGGATTTCCCCTCCCAAAGTTGATCTTGGGGTGGTTGGACGTTACCCTTGGGTTGGTTGGCTATGCCATTTAGGTTTTGGGCCAAGGAACCAGGACACCAACTCACTGAAATATGCATTTGTCGTTTTGTTTTTTTTTTTTGTTTGTTTTTTTTTTTTGTGGGGCTTCTTCTTTTTTGATCACTGGACTTCTCCGAAAGGTGATCCATTTTTCTGGAAACGATCGAAACACTCTCGGAGCCCTGTTTGACGTTGCCCTTTTGGGTTGGTTTAAGCGCAAAACCCGGAAACAAACTCACTTGCCCCTGGGGGGACCGGACAATTCAAGGATATTTTGTGGGAACCTTGACTGGATATGGTTGCCAAAACCGGGGAAACGGAATTTCAGGCCCATTCGCTTGGGGCAATGCGGCCTCTCCAAGATGTTGGGTCCTTTCTTCTCACGAGTCATGGAGTTTGGAACGCCAAAGTGCAAACAGACATCCAGTGCTGCGAAACAAGGTATAACCCGAAGTGCCCGTTGGGAGATGTTAGCGTACAGAAGTCCAACTTGTGAAAAGACAAACTTTTTGGAACCTCATTTGCCCAAAGGATCTGGACATAAAACAAAAAGGCAAACAGGTTGCCTGGGACATGTGAGTTCAAGATTTGTCCCCCAACAAAAACCTGTGCCTTTGGCTGTTTGTTGACAAGTTGTTGTTTGGCAAAACTAGCCGACGCCTGGGTGATGGTCCAAGAGATGTCCTCGTCCCCCCTGGCGAGCCAGCAGTACTTGATGGAGTTGTCCTGAGTTTGACCCGGGAAGGGCTTAAAGGGTTCCAAAGTGCTAGCTACAAGGGAAAAAAACAAAATCAAGGGAAACTACGTTTTCCGACAGTTTTAACTGGACATTGCAGACAAGACAAACCGTAACGCCCTCTTTTCAGGGGTCCTGAATTCCGAGAAGCGGCACCACCAAGCGCATGGCTGCTCTAGTTCCCTTGCAATGTGCGGGTTTGACCCCATTTTGTCCGGGCCGCCAATTACATTGGCGCTTCCCTTCAGCCAAAGGGGGGCGGCTGCCAAAAGGGATTCTCACCCCTCTGTCTGCTGACATTTCCTGACAAGGCAAACAATCAGTTGAAGTCCAAAGACCCAACCAAAAAGCCATAAAAAGAAGAAAGCAACAAGCATGAGACAGCCGTCCATGAGACATGAGACGGTTGGCAAAGCTCAGCCGGGCGAAACTTGCAGTGCCAATAGGGCTGACAATTGCCAAACGGCTGTGTCGTCTTTTCAGGGACACCAACAAATCTAGGTTTTCCTTTTGGAAGTCCCTTTAAAAGCAACAACAAAGCTTACCCTCAGGGAAAAACAGACCGACCAGGATTGTGGGAATTGCCCACTGTGATACTGTGGGTGGACGAAATCCATTTTGCACCACCGTTTAGAAGCCCTGGAATGACGATTTTCCTGTACACACATTTTTTTTTTTTAAGATTGGTTTCAAAGTGATGAGAACTGCTTTTGTCCATCCATGGTACCAATGGAAGTCCTTCCAATGACTAATTGTGAGGTGGAAAACAACCATCACATGCCAATGTTTGCTAACTTACTCTACCCTGAAACCCCCACGACGTCCATATCAGGCAAGGGTTGAGCAAACATTAGTCACATCTTACTTGTTTTGCTGTCTTTGTTTGCGCTAACCTTCCCAGCCCCCAAGAGAAACACATGGAAAATAGGGTTCTAAATTGCGAAAGCTACTGTACAAGCGCTGTTCCCAATGCTGTTTTCTTTAAGTGAGTTGCACCACAACCTCTCATATATATATATATATAGATAGATAGAGATAGTATCTGGCGGAAATATCAATGCATACTAAAGAAGTTTGTTCAACATTTCAAGGTTTGACACGCTAAATCGAGTTACCCCCCCTTCAAGGCCAGTCACTCAGCCTCCCAAGAAAACAAACACCTCAGGCACTCTCCAGCACTGGGCCAAGAAAACGGTGCAGTCCCATTCGCCAAGTACGGTGAATCCGAGAAACTCAGCTGCTCCATAGGAACCTGGACATTGAAATGATTAACCGAAAGGCTAGGACGCCTAGGGTCCCAGTGAATTATTTGAGGTCTTGGGTCTTTTGGGCCTTCATACTGATGGACGAAATCCATTTCGCACCACTTTGAAACCATGGTTGGAATCGAATCATTCCAGGCATTTTGAGGTGGTGCCTAAGAGGATTTCGTCCATCCGTATTTTCGATCCGGTCCTAAGGGATCATAGGCTTCGATTCGCTTGTGAGAAATTTCAACCAGTGACCAAATGTTATGCCTCTTGTGGGGGGACACCCACAAATTAGTTGTGCTTCCTTCCGGCTCCCCTTTAAAACCATCACAAAACATGACCAACTCACAAAAAGACACTTTCATAGGTGTCCTTTTGGGAAACTAAACGGGCCTGGCAGAATATGAACCAACCAGGTCAACCGGGAATCGCCATCTATTGTGCCCCAAAACTGCCTCAAAAAGGACACCTGTGCCCGTCGAAACTTACACTTGGTTGCTTTCTGCTCCCCTGCTAGAAGTTTGACTTTTAGTGGTTTAATACGAAAAACTCATTAGTTGGCAAAAGGCTATATTCCTAACATCCCTTGGCAAAATGCACCAAAGAAAACCGTTAAACCTGAGGTCCATAAACCTGGCGGTTTCATTTCCCATAGCCCACAGCGGAGCATCGATGAAGTGAAACTTCGCGAACTCCGAGCCCAAGAGCTTCGCGATCCGCTCCGAGTCCAGGAAAATGTCTTGACGCATGCGGGAGTGCTGCGAGATGCCTGGGCTCACGCGGAATTAACTCTATAAATAGACCGGTATAATTACATTTAATATATATGTAAATATATATCTGTATATATCGATCGATACATGTATGCATACATATATGTATATGTTTTGTTTGAGGGTTCCCTTTTTGGGGTTGGTTTGGGGAAACCAAGGGGGAGCCATAACCATTGTGGCTTCAGTATCTTTCCCGGCTACTTTGACCCTGCATCTCTCAGTGTCATAGGATGTGCCCGTCACGGACCATCAGTCCCATTTCGCCTTTTATCTGACCCTCGTGCGGCAACTGCGCTGCAATCACACTTCGCGCACAGGCCACATCATGTTTCCTGGTATGGAGGTACCAGCATCACGTGTCTTGGTTTGTTGGCGCGGAGGCACAGAAGGTTGTGCCAACATCACGTTTCGACTCGGTGTTGCGCACGGCCAGTCATCGACACCAAGCGCGAAAGTGCCAAAAGCCGCTGTCAGCGGCGGGGGCAAGGCCTAACCCAAAGTCAAAGGCAGGTTTCCGAGTTTCGAACAAAAAGCCTGAATTTTTCGGGAAACCACGAAATATTCTGCCCAGAAAGGGAAATCCACATGTGAGTGCCGCAGTTTACCTTAACCCAGCTGAAGCGACTGGTTAGGAAATGGCAGGACATATGTTCGGCTTTATTTGAAGTGATGACTTCAGCCTACAAACACAAAGTGTTCATGTCGCCACCCAGCCAAAAAGCAATCACATTTCCCCTGAGAAATGTTGGCGATTTGCTGGAACGCTACCGTTGCACCAGCGCAGGGCTACATCCCACGTGAAAAGCACCCCGTCGTTTTTCACACTGGAACAAACAAAAAAGGTCTACGCCACAGGGCCACCAGGCCAAGCGCACAGATCAAAGGCTTGGCGCGTCGCCCAAGTCTTACCCAGTGGGCATTGCCACTGACCCAAGGGATGCGCTGTCCATGTTCGAAACTTCAGATCGAAGAAGCGTAGGGATGAGGGGTTGGCCTTTTCGAGCTCCGTTTCAGGAAAAACTTGGTTGTCAAAAAGGTGGTCAAGCAATTCCTGGCAATTGTAACCAATGCAACCAAATTCAGTTTGCCCTTTGGTCTCCCTTTTAAATAACAACAAGTATCCTACAATCGGACACACCCAAAGGTTGATTTGCGGACCGGGCTGCGCAACTGCTCAGTGCCCAGCATGTCGTACAAGCCGTCATTGCCGCGTCGGATTTTCTCACTCACATTCAACTTCAGCGACTTGCCCTTCATGCCATACCGGCCCATGTAAACCTCAACTCCGTGGCCGCGGTATCGCCCCCAGTGCGAAGAGCTTCTATTTTTGTTGGCCCATGGAGCAATACACGGCGAGACGTTTTTGGCTGAGGAAGCCAGAAGAAATCCGCCGGTGCGGGTTCCGATTCCCAGTTGAGACATACCCACATATGCCCACATGTCCCCATTTTGTTTTATACCAAAAAACAAAAAGAGGAAGCTTCGAGGCACCCGAACTCAGCCCAGCCGGCTTGACATGGACTAGTGGGAAGGCAGTTGGCACGTGTCTTCCCGTTATTCCATCAGCATGCTTATAGTTTCCCTTCAGCCGCCGAAACGTCAGACCACTTAACAAGCTCGAACGGTTCCAAACTGTTGGCCCGCGCATTACCCCAGAGTTGCGCGGCCCTGGCTGAAAACAAGACCAGCGGCAAAGTTGGAAACCAACCGGATGTGGTCGAAATTTCTTGGTGGCCATGAGGTAGGCAGGGACTAATGTCCATCAACCGCTTTGGAGGTGGTCCATGCACAGGTTCGAAACATTTGGCGGTGGCTCAAAAAAGTGGAACCATGTGGAACCCATGCTTGAGCCCCTCAAACCAAAAAAAAAAAACCTGCGTAACCCCAGCCCTTAAATTTTGAGCCACACCCATTTGTCTACAGTACAAAAAATGAGCCCAACACGGCACCTCTCTCTTGTTCAGGTACCCACTACTTGGTGGTTTTGATTGGTGGTTTGGGGATTTGAACCTCCGGTTCTTGTAGAGGCTAAGTGGGAAACTGCCCCCCCGAACCACCAAACAAACAATCTCAAAACCACCCATGATATCGTATTTCTAGGGGTTGATTCCCCATGCTTTTCAATCATCGTTCTTTTCAAATCGGATCTTTTTCCTTTGGGTTTTTGATGATTTCCTGAAAAGATTCGGATCCCTGGAAAGAATGGAAATGGAAGGCACCCCTAGAGTATTTGTTGTTTGCTTTTTCCGAGCAAACAATGTAAAAACCAACCATATACTGTTTTGTTTTTCCAAACCACCCATCACCCATGATATTGTTTTTTTTAGGGGGGATGTTTTTCCGAGCAGCCCCCATCTCCCTCTCCATGATGACGCACTGAGTGAAGGCGCCCTTGCCCTCCACGGCGTAAAAGATGGCGCTGCCGGAGGGGTGGCTGGTGGAGCGGCTGGGGTGGTCGAAGGCGAGCATGGGGCACCCCACCACACCTCGATTGGTCCGACCCACGAAAGCGACAAAACTGCCCAAGCAACCCCAAAATAGAAGGTTAAGCTGTTGGGGCCATGACTAAAATGGACCAACAAGGGAAACTAGAAGGGCAAACGTAGGCTTTGGGCGAGTGAGAAACATAAAACAACTGCTCAGCCTTGCAATCAAGGGCCACTTTCGAAAAAGCGCAAGGTACATTGAAAAAGATTCGCCAAGGTTCGACGAAACAAACCCTGAAAACAAAAGGCACATGCGGGCAATCTGCTACTGAAAGAAGTCAAAAGTTGTTGTTGGACCTACTTCACAATGACGGGAAAACTCGAAATCAAACTCAAACCTCGAAATCCCCTTCCCGGTTGCAACCAGCTACTCGAAGGATCGAAGAAATATAAAAGTTCTGGGGGTTGTTTCCATGGTGGTCCAGCCGGTGTTTTTGGCTTCTTTGGGGGTCAAAAGCCTCATGCCTGGCTGACATTGACCAAAGGTCCATCAAATCTCCTTCATTCTCCTTTTGTGGGGGGGGGGGGGGGCGTGTCGGACGTTGGGATCCCATGTTGAATTTTGCGAGCAAATCCTTCAGGATTTAAATGGATCAGCGATTTATTGAGCTCCGACACTCATCACCGGCTTGTTGTCCTGCATCAAGCACCTGGGACACGCCAGGATGCGGCCCTTCTCTATTAAATTTGAATGCGGTGATATTCAAGGGAAACCAAAGGCCATGTTGGTGTCACAGGGTCCCCCCCTGTTTCAAGGGACACCCAAGTCGATGGCCGTGTGACCGATGGTTGAACACGAAACCCCAAAAAGCCGAAAGCTCGAGAGCCAGCAAAAAAGTCTGGCCAAATGCTCAAAAAATGGTGCCTGCAACGAAGAAACAAAACTGGGGATGGCGCAGGGTGCAGCAAAACTGCTTCGCATCTCTAAACTCCTTCTTGCTATCCACCGGGGTAAAGACCCAATACCTGCTGGGCTTCTCCTCGTCCTCGTAGGTATTGCAATGCCGATGCCATGCGTCGACCTGGCAGCGGCAGTGCCGCCAAAGCCTTGGGAAGTCCCTTGGCTCCGAAGCCCTACAGTGGGTGGTTGCGAAATCCATGTCGCACCACCCAAGAAACCCTGAAATGAGTCGATTCCCCGGCAAATACCGACAAAGAATGGTTTCAACCCATGGCTTCAAAGTGGTGCGAAATGGAGTTTGTTCATCCGCAGTATGAAAACCCGTGTCCACCCGCGGCTGGTACTCCCACTTAGCTCAGCCCACCCGTTTTAGCCAGTTAAAATGGGTGGTCTGAGCTAAAATGGCTGGTTCAACCCCCGAAAAAAATGATTGGTCTGAGATTGAAATTCGGAGCCAAGTGGTCTGAGGTTATAGTGCTAAAGTGGCTGGTTGAACTCCTGGCTAGAATGCATGGTCTGAGCCCTTTAGCCAAGTGTGCGAATCCGCACAGCCGCCTTGCACACATTCCAAAAAAGAGGGATTCGGGAAGACTGCCTGCGGGCCCCGTCCCTCTTTTTTACAGCAGTCTCGTTCTGAAAACCAGGGAAAACACAAAAACCAAGGAACTCTGGCTGAGATGGGTGGTTTGAGGCAGAATAAAATGGGTGGTTCTGAATACAATGGGGTGGTCTGGGGTAAATTAGCCAACGCTGGTCCTAGGATAAAATGCTTTTAGGTGGTGAGAGGCCACCCTTCTCAGCCAGCGATACCAACCCCCAGTCCGTGTCCCAAGCAAGCCAGGAAAACACAAAGTAAACCACCACTGCTGTGCGGGGCCTTTTTGTTTTGGCAGTCAGCCCAGAAAGGGTGGGAAGTATGGAGGTTGGGGCGGTTCCCATTCGCCCTCTACAAAAACCAGGGTTGAACCGACCAAACCACCAATCCAAATTACTACAGGGTTACCTGATAAACATTAACCATGTAATTAAAGACAAATGCCATCCCCTTTTGGGCATTTGCTTTAGCACGTTGAAATCCCGTTCTCAATAAATCATCTTGCCTGACGCGCCCGTTTGCCAGGGCTACCTTGTAACCAACTTTCAAACTTCTGACCTTTTTTTCGCCCCCTACCAGCGTCTTTCTTTTGGGAGCTTAACTTTGGCTTGGAAGAGGGCTTTGTTTGTCTTGCCTTGGCCCTTTTGGTTGTCAAGAGGGCTTAGGGAACTTCAACAACAGCCCTCCTAGCCGGCCCCGCCTGGTCCTTCTCACAGTCCACGAAGCCGTAGGTCTGAAGAAACTCCGCCACCGTGGACCCGAACGCCTCGTCCTGCAGCAACTCGCCGTCCTCAGTTGGCCGGTCTTGGGCATGTCATGTTTTTTTCCAGGAATCGGACCCCCCCGGTCAAAACATGCTTTTTGTGGGCTTCCCTTAAAAGACCCGGGATGCCTCCAAAAATGAGACATCCTCTTGAAAGGATGACGCCTCTGAAAAAAACCAGGCCTTGGTCTTCCAACTGAAAAGGCATATGAGAAAAGTGGGGGGATTTGGAGAGGAGCTCGGAAGGGCTTGCTTTCCACTTTGGCTCCGCGCCTACTTGACAACACCAGCGGATCCATGGTTTGCTTGGTTCCCACTTGCAACGAGAAACAGTTCAACAAATCCGAGCAATCACCGCAAAAACCAACTGAAAGCAAATGCATCTCGGTGACTTGTCGCTGTTCAATCTACCACTGAAAATGAGTGCTATTTCTTGTTCGTGCTTCCTGTCTGGTTTTATTGCTTGTCTCTGGGTGCTATCCCCATCCCCTTTTGGTGTATGTTGGTTTCCTTTGGGACAAAAACTGAGCGCACCCCATCCTCGTCGCACATGACCGGGTCGTCGGGAAAGTGATCCAGCAACTGCTTCATGACGAAAGCGGTTGCTGCAGCTGCCGGCATTGTGGTGTCCGTGCCATCCTTCCGACACCAAGATCTCTGGTTTGGAGTTGAGCCCGGCGGTCTGGATGTGTTCCGGGGTGAGCTCCCATTTGCACCCTTGAAATCCCCAAACCATCAATGCAAACCACCAAATATGGGTTGGCTGACCTGGCATGCCAAGCCCCGATCTGGCAAAAATGTGCGACATGTTCAAAGTGCTAAAAGGAGAAGAATGCCTCAATTTGTTGGAGCCTCAATTTGTTACATAACTTGACCACGTGGTTTCAAGAAACAACAAACGTAAGTAGAACTTGAGAAAGAGCAAAACGGCTACTCTAACACAATGATAATCCCTTCTCCCTAATGCTAAACGTAGCCCGAACACTAAAACGGACTCTTGAACACCTTTAAGAGCAGCCAATGCAAAACCAATTCTAGAGTAGCTATTTTCCTGCCCGTGCCCAAATCCAGTCCCATTAGGGGTACGACCCAGGAGTACGTTTACTTACTACGGCTATTCTACAAAATTGCGTCTTTCAAGCCGCAGCCCCGGGAGTACGTTTTCTTTGCAACGGCTGTACTACAAAGTTGCGACTTTCGAGCCGGAGCTCCGGGAGTACGTTTCCTTTACTACGGTTGTACTACAAAGTTGCGACTTTCGAGCCGGAGCTCCGAGGACGGTTCTCCGAAAACGCACCGGCCCCTAATGCTAAAACGGTTTTTCCCGGGGGACCCACTAAGTATGAGGGGGGGGGGGGTTAGCATTTGGGGGAAGGGATTACTAGAAATCGTAGAAGACAACCAACAGCCATAGACAACCACAAACTTCACCACTCCCGCAAGATTGGGTTCTCGCCCAGACTGTAGGAAACTTGGGTCAGCCTCCATGCCCTCTCAAGCTGAAAATGTTATGCAGTTCATGTCTACAAGTCGGTGTGACAACCTATTGCCCCAATCATCTTGCTAGCTGGTGCTCAGCCGGAAATTAGGGAATGACCCCTAAGGCAAAAATCCCGTGTGGCTTCCTTTAAGGGAATCCCATTCCGGTTCATTCCCAACATCCTGACTTGGTCATTCCCTACCTATCGCGCTAGCAAGTTATGGGGACCCGTGTCCTTTCCTTTCGGTGCCTCGTCCGTGTGACACGGACCCCAAAGTAAGGTGTTGTTGGCTCACCTTTACCCTCTTGGCAATGGAAGTGGAGGGGCCTTTAACGGGGCAGCGTAAGGGCAAATGGGGAAAAAGCGTTGGCTCCCTCCAGAACACCCCTAACTTGCTGAGTGGACTGCCCAAAAAAGGAGCTGAACTTTGTGCTTACCACCAACATGCTGCCAAATTATACAAACCCTGGGCGCCCAAGACCATCCCCAGACCCTAAATATGAGGGCTGCCCCATCAAAGGCCTCAAACAAACAAGGTATTGGGCCAGGGCAAGGGAGTGGACAGACAGACACGCCATCCCAAGACCCTAAATATGAGGGTCCCCCCATCAAAGGCCTCAAACAATAAGGTACGCAACACACGTGTTCGGCTTTCTTTTCGCCAGCCACGCGTCCTTGCCCTTGCAGATGTACTTCTCCTCCAAGGCGAAGCCGTGCAACCCCACCGTGGACTTGTCCTGGTCGAAAGCGACTGCCCGACTGCCAGGGAGCGAGCGCTTCGGGGGGAAGGCTGGAAGGCCTACCCAAACGGCTGGGCCACATAAAAATGAGAGGCACAATTTCTCTACTTTACTTGTAATGTACTATGGTTTTGTGCGTGAGATAGGGGTATATAGTTCTGGGGCCTAGGGGACCAGTCAAAAGGAAGGTGGGAACACAGGAACTCACTTGAGCAGTCAGCAACCCAAAAAAGCGCAAAAAACCTGTTGTGTTTGCCGTACATGTTCTTCCCAAAGCATTAGTCGAGCAAGAAACACGGTTAGGGATCCGGATTCGTAAGTCCTGGTTGATGTTGATTGGGCAAGGGAAGGCCTACAAATCATCAAATGCACCTATACGATCCAAAGGGTGGGAACTTTTGAACATTGCAACAGTTGGGGGGGTGTTTTTATAGGAATCGGGGGTGTTTTTTTAGGAATCGGATCCCCCCCCCCAAGCAAAACATGCATAGTGATTTGTCCTTTTAGTTCCCCTGCTAAACCACTACAAAAGGGTTACCCCCAAAAAAACACAAATCTGTTGGCTACCCTTCAAGCAGCATCCAAACATCCTTTTGCTTGAGCCCCCTGGCAAACTGTAACTATTTCCAGTAGTGATAGATTCCCTTTAAAACCAGCGAGGGAGAACAAGAAAACAAAAACGTTCTTAAGCAAATGGATGCGAAGGTGTCTTCCCGTCTTCCCACATGGCTGTGGGTCAAAAATCGGTGCCCCAAATGGAACCCTGGTAAGTGGAAACGTGGACCAAAACCTGCGGTCCATATCCTGGTGGTTTCATTTTGACCCTGACCCATACCCATGTATTCTTTGAAGAACCATGTATTTTTGATGAGGTCTTATGTATATTTACATAATAACTGTTAGTGCTCGGCACCACCCAACCCATACCCACATTTTCTTGGGGCGTTTCCGGCCCGAAAAAGCTCAGGCAACGGCCTTGTTGTCCTCCAAGATCAGTGTGCCCAGGCACCTTGTGACCGCAGACCGGTCTCGGGTCTGTCTCTTCTTGAGGCTACCCATCTGTTCTTGGTTGACGTTGGAAGGGGAGCAAAAATGTAATTTTAGCAGTTAAGTGCGGATTTCCCGCTAGGCCGCAAATAAGCAAACATGTAAAATGTTTCCCAACAACAACCATGTGTTGATCTTTTGGTGGGTTCCAAAAGGCAGCCAAAGGAAAAACCGCCAGACTCTTTGGTTGGAAGGGGGGTTCCCTGAAGAAAAAAAGGCGCTGCTCAGACTCAGCATCCCTTGGGTGGGAGATGGGAACAGGGTTAACCCTTTTGGATCCATGACTACAAATGGACCAACAAGGGCGAAATGGACCAGCAAAGGGAAACTAAAAGGTCACAAGGTATGCTTTTTGGGCAACTGAGAGTTTCGCGGCTCATGTATTTAATCCCATGTGGCTCGGGCATGCCCCCGGGCAGGCGTGTTTGCATTGGACCCCTTCGCCGGTGGGACACACCCCCGAAAAAATCAGATGGGGCGATGCCGCTAAACACGACCCGTTGAAGGTGCAACATGTGTAGCTGGTCAGGACATGCATGCCCTTTCCGTTTACTGCGGATTTGTGGGGTAACATCCCAAGTGTCCACAAATACTTTCTGTGGCTCACAAGCCAGCCCTTGCGTGGTCCAAATGCCCGATCTTCAGTTACAACAGCTGCCTTCCGATAGCCAAATCACCTGGCCCCCAGAAAGTGGTCCAACAACAGCCCAAGGAAGAAGTCCAAGTCAAATTGTCCGGATCTACCTACAGAAACCCACATGTTTTAATTTTTACTGACCAAACCAGTCAAGTGGAGTGGCTGTCCAAAAGCCCATGAAGGCGCCAGTGAACAACTGGGTGGATTATGGGAACGTGGATCTGAGCGGCCTCTCTCTGCAACCCAAACAGTGATTCATGTCAAAAAGCACGTGTTCAAACCACCAAAACGCATGGAGCATCTCTCAAACAAACTACCTACCTACCGGACCTGAACCCCACTTTTTTTCGTGACCTGCTCGGAAAAAGAACACACAAAAGGGGGGAAAAATAAGAACACAACAACAAGAAACAACACAAAAAAAGAAAGGAGAAAAACAAAACGCGCGTCCGAGGCGCAGCATGTGGAGCACCTCCACCATGGACTCCATGGCGACCTTGAGCTCTTTGCCCACGTCGCTGGACAGGAGCTCCTAGGGGCAGGTTTCATGGGGCAGCACCCCAGGAAACCCATCCTGCTTACTCCGGTTGCTGATTTTTTTGGGCCCAGAACAGAACAACTGTTTTTTTCAGCGATAGATTCCCTTTAAAACCAGAGGAGGAGAAAAAACACATGTTCTTAAGCAAATGGAAGCTAGGCGGGTCACCCACGAAAGTAAAAGGATTCCGGCTCCCAAGAAAAAAAGAAGGCCCGGAACCCCTTGGCGCCCCTCCCGAAGCCGTTCTGAACTCCAAAAGCCCCCATAGCTTTCCACTGAAGAACCCGCTGTGCTTCCCCGTTCTTGTGGGGAGCGGGACATTTGGATGACCCGTGGAATTTGGTCTAACCAAAATGGTAAGCAAATCACAGGATTCAGCGGCAAAGTAGATGGCACACACACACACACCATTCCGATGGGGATGAAGCCAAAGGAAAGTGCGGCCACTCTCACACTCCTGGAGTCCTACGATGTTTCAATTGAGAGGGTGTTGAAGCAAGGGGATTAAGGGATTGGAGAGATTAAATCCTTTTTGCTTCTGTGATACCACTTTCACAGGACCCACCCCCCCTCCCTCCCCAGAATGCAGTATACAGGTGAAAAAAAACTGAACTTTTGGGGTGCCACTGGGAAGATGCCAAAAGGTTTCTGGCTCAACCTGCCAGATGAAATCTCGATTCCAAGAGGACGAGAACGGGTGGAATGGCCGTTTTACGGGGTATGGGAGCTGAAGTTGGGGGCCGCACTCGAGAAGTTCCAACTGAATCATAGTCACTTCTTGCCCGCTACTGTGCTCATGAGGCCACTTCTGTGACACCACCGGGGGGAGCAAAAAGGCCTTTCCGGGACGAACTCTTTTCCGCAGACGTGATTGAACTTCCAAAGCTCTCAGCCCCTTAAAGTGAACATTTGTGCGGATTTCTCAAACTTACTTTTGGGGCTGGATGCTCTTAAACTAGGGTAATTTTGAGGACTTGCGTTGATGGACCTGGAAACAACATACCCTGCCTCCAACAAACAAGAGATCTGACCATGTTCCTTTGAAGGACATTGATATATTCCAGGTTCGTGGAAGGGATACTGGCTGACGCCTGCTCCCAGAGCATGTTCACACATCAGCTTCACTCTAACCGGTGGTGTTTAGGTGCTCCGGGAGTTCGGGGTCCCATTTCTCTAGCCAACAACCCCGGGGGGTTAAGCGATCGGTCTTTGAAAAGAAGGATGTTTGAAAAGAATGGAAAAGGAATCAACTCCTAACTTGCTTGACATTGGAAGGGGAGCAACAAAAACAATTTTAGCAGTTAAGTGGTTGGATTTCAACCGCTGAACCACAATAAGCAAACATGTAAAATGTTTCCCAACGACAACCATGATCAACCCCTAGAGTGGTCCAACCCACGAATGCGATAGAACGACGTGTTGCCTAAGGGGACCATCTGGGAAAACAGTACTGCCCAAGGGACCCCAAGGGCCCCCAAAACAGTACAACTGCCTCTACCCCCCCAAAAAAAAAGAGTTCAACTTCCAAGCTGGACTAAAATCTGGACTCTTTTTTTTGGGGGTGATCAAATCTGGACTCCTCTGGCACCACCTGCTCCACCGTCTTGTCCGCTCCCAAAATCCTCGGACTTTGCAGGATCGAAGCCATGAGACACGCGGCCAGCGTTGTGCAACCAGCCCCCCGCGGCGAATCTACTTGGCCAACAAGCTGCTCGGATATGGCTGTGGCTCAAAATGAAACAGGTGGGGATATGCAGGCTTTAATCTTTGCTTCCATGTGCCAAGGAGCCATTTTGGGCAATTCTTTCTGAGCCACAGCCATATAATCAGACGTTTTGCGTCGGCGAATGTTACCCTGCGACCAGCAAGCGAGCTTTTTGTTCAGTCAAATGATGCAAAGCAAGAGGGGGTGTCAAAGCAAGAAGGGGATGACCCGTGAGTTCCCCAAAAAGGCTCCCACGGTCATCGTGGGGTCCCCCTTGGCATGTACTCCCCTGCAAACTCACCTGGAACCCAAACAGCCACATGTTTGGAGGCATCTCCTCTTGGGGGAAGAATTCCACGTCCAAAGGCGCGATGTGCTGGCCGGGGCGTGCCAGATCACGCCATGACAGTGACTTGGACTCTACCACAACTAATCCTCTGGAAAAATAATAATGGAATAAGACCCATCGCAACCAGTGCCATTTATTTCTAAACAAACTAATCTCAACAGGACACCTATGGGCCCCACCTTGGCAGATCCGTTCTTTGGCAGGCCACGAACCGTGACGGCCAAGGGGGCCGTCAAAGGCTTCGTTCCCTTTGGGAGGAGGCTCCGTTTTCGGGGCTCGCAAGCCAAGATGTTGCTAAAAAAACACTAACCCCAAACATCCTCACGCCCGGGCGAGAGTGTAGTTGGCACAATTGCCTTGACTTGGTAAGCAAAGGGAATGACCAAACCCAGCAAGCAGCCAGGCGATTTGGGATATGTGTCCAAAGGAACTCCAAAAAAGAGCACTTTTAAAAGGCCAGAGGCCGCCCCCTGAAGCTTATCCAGAAATCGGCCCCTTCCCATAGCCGCGAGGGGTCTATCAATTTGCAGCCGGAAGCTCTTCCTCCCGGTGTTCCCCGTCTTCACCAGCGCCTCCTGGCGGTCCGGCTGGCTAAGCTCCTTCGCCTCCTCGATGGAGGTTCCTTGAACCGGTGGCATCCAATTGCCCCCCCCCCAAGCTTGCCGGCGCGATAGGTAGGGTATGACCCATGGTGTTGGGAATGAATTTGGAGATTCCCTGAAATTCTTAAAGTTTAAAGGAAACAACTGCTCACTTCCTGAGTGGATTGGCCCAAAAAGGTCCGAACTTCCAGTGGATCTGGCTGGTTTTTGCTGGTGCGATACGGAATGACTCAGTCCGGGTGTTGGGAATGAACCGGAAAGGGACTCCTTGTAGGAAACCAGGGGATCTCTGATAGGGGTCATTTCTCTTTCCCTGCTAAGAACAAGCAAGCTAAGAAACAACTGCATGTCAACATGTAGGACTGCTCAACTTTCTACACCTCAAACTGCGAAACTGGCATCTTCCGGATGGCTGGTTTGCACAAGAGCTGCTTGCCCACGCTGAGACTGCCCGGAAATGAATCAGGAAAGATCCGAAAGAAACCTTCCCAACAGGGATACTCGAATGATTCGGATCGAACCTTTCTCTCTGCTTTGTTAAAGCTCATTACGTGCCCTTGAGGCACAGACCTTCCCACGAATTAACATAGAATCTGACGTTCGGGGGGATCCTGAAAAACAATGTTCCTTTAAAGGGGCCCATTGTTAGGTTTCATGCAAATTGGTGGGAGGGTACGTGCCCCAAAATTGTATCCTTGCCAATTTGTGTGCGTCGCCCAGAAGATCCAGCTCAGCTTTTTCCCAACCAGAACCATAATGATGCTGGCCCATATTTACACATAGTTGTGTAAACCAAACGTAGAAAACTTTAATGGGATATGTAAACACAATAAAGCCATGACATAAGCGGCACACTTTCATTTTTCTCCTGGAGGTCGTGGTTTGCTTTGTTGCATCTGTCCTATCCTTGAATTAAGCGGTTGCCGACACCATACGATAAATCAAAAAGAAGTGGCCGCTCGGCGTCTCTGCCAAGACACTAGGTGCATCAAAGGCTGCCATCATCCGACACCGCCGGCGCGCGCTCGTCGCCGCGAGCAAGCCAGCCGTGGCGCTCGCGCTCGTGGCCAGGAAACGCATGGATTGCGCAGAGCTCCTGGCGCTTGTGGCCAAGCAACTTCGCCAGGGTTGAGCCCGCAAAAGCTTTGAACACAGGGATCCTTACATTACACACCTGAACATTGCCTTGTAAATGTACACATTGCCTTGTAAATGGTGGTTTCCCTTTATTGTGGTGGAAAAGCCAAGATTCAAATGGGAAACATGTATCGTTTAAGGAGCCCTGAAACACTTTGGCTGCATCTGAGAGATGTCAACGCGTTGCAGAGCCTAAAAACGAAGAAATCTTTGGCTCTGAAGTCTTTGGGCTTTGGCTAACACGAAGCATGGGTAAGAACCACGCCGGCCCATACGTTGGGCCCTTTCGAAGGGTCAAGGGAACACCTATGGCCCGGCACTCTGGTCAATTCTATGAGATCTATGGCTGACAGGATCTGACAGGAGGGGTTTAAAGCCCGTCCGTCCACTTTCCCATGATAATTAGTTCAAGTGAGGGTCTGCCGCAGCCGAATTACGAAACATGTCAAACTAAGTGCCGGTTGAGCTCTGTGTCCCCGCCTTGACTTCGCTTGCGCATGTCTCGGCAGGGCCAGGGGTACTGGGGTCCCGGCTCTTGGGAGCGAGAGTGTCATGGCCCGACGCGGCGCGGGCAATGCGGGCAACCGCGGCCCGGTTCGGACTTGAAGCTGAGCGAAGGTATGAGAGGCCCTCATGTGGCCGCGTCAAGGGTTTGCCTTGGAGCAAATCCAGTGAAATGAGCCGCCTCCCTTGAAAAGGGGCGGGGGGGGGGATTTTCTCCACAGTGGAAAAGGCGTGCCGTTTTATTTCCTGGCACTCCTTTTTGGGGTTGCAAAGGGAACCAAGCCTCCATTTGCTTGTCTGCGCGCACAAAAACAAAACATATTGCCTTTAGTGATAGGTTCCAATAAGAACAATAGGAACATAAACGTTCTCATGCAAATGGGGTCGCAAGGAGGCCGTCACCTCCGTTTTGGCATCCCGAAACGGATGCTTCTGCCGGGTGCTGGCCGGCCAGTTCTATTTGGAGACAAACTCAGAGGCCTGTTTGGCTAAGAGCCCACTCACAGCCAGCCAACCTTGGTGGTTGAATTTTGACATAATTAATGTTGACCCCATATGAGCCAACCCCAGTTTATTAATAGGGGGGCCGCGGCCCCTCTAAAAGTGGTCTGATTCTCCACGTGTCCTATTATTAACAATCTGTGGCGGCTGTAACAACCCCTCTGCAAAGCGTGCGACTAACATTTCCGGGTCCAAAGTTGAAGTCCAAAGATCCGTTGCCAAATCGCCAAGCAACCGTGAGACTAGGAATGCCCGATGGGGCATTCACAGAAAGGAAAGCGGCAACTAGGTTCAATCATTTTTTAGCTCTTCGGTTTTTAGTGACAAAGCAAACAACCACGCAGTTTTGGGGTCACCATTCCTTCTGCCCCCAACCCCAAATCCAGAATTGAAAGTTGATACTCCTGATTTGGAGCAACTTGGTATTGATCCTCGAGAGGTTAGAATAAGGGTACCCGATTTTTTTCCGGTAGTCTTTTTTAGTAAGGGAGCCCTCCCAACCAAAACAGGGGTGAGGAGAGAAGGGCACCTAGCTGGACCGAGTTCCGAGTTCCCGTCTAAGCACGAAGCCCGTGGCAAACGATGGCATTGATCCGCGGGGCTTCTCGCTGATCATGGCGCCGCAGGCGAGGGCCAAGGCCAGCTGGCCCTGCAGGCCACCTGACGTGGACAAGCGAAAGGGAGATTCCGATGCCATGGGAGGGCGGAGGGAGTGGGGAGGGAGGGAGGGAGGGAGGGAGAGGGGGGGTGGGGGGAATCCCAAGACCCATTCCTTTTGCGGCCTTTTGGTCCTAAGTGGATGGACGAAATCCAACGCACCACCGTTCAGAAACCCTGAAACGATTCGATTCTCCAGGAATTTCCATGAAACGTTATGGACTCAGCCATGGTTTCATGGTGCAGGATTTTCTCCACCCAAAGTAGATGAGGGCCAAACGGATGTGGTCGACAGACTGTGGGTCTGTGGGTGCTCTACACTAGTTCAGGCGAACATGTGCGACCCACGTAGGCTTTGCCCTGAATAGAAGGATGAAACCTGCAGTTGAGTTCCACTTCGCTGACTTGTGGCACTGACCCCCTGTTTCCCAGAAAGCATGGATGGGTTCCTTGAGACTTCCCTTGTGAGAGCCCCGTTCCTGACGGTTTGACGGTTCCGCCCCGAGAGCCTTAGGGACCCCCTTGCGCCGCCCCCCCCCCAACAAAAACCAACCCAAGGGTCCAAGGGTTCAGAATGGGAAGATGATGCCAGGCCTTTGCTTCCCCTTTCCAACCGCTGGAGCCGGATGTTGTGAACATGGCTTGGTTGGACATAGAGTTGCGTGAGAGTCGATGGCACAGGTCCGAAGTCCCCCATGTTGGCTGAAAATCATCCCCGTTGGCTTGCCCACATGCAGGGGATTTCAAAATGGGGTGTGGGGTTCTTTGATGGGAAAACCAGGTTTGCAATTACTTGACCCTTGGAGCAGTCGGTTTCAACAGGGATTCCCTTGTTGCAGGGGCTTTGACAACTCATAAAGCTACACACACACACATACCGGCATCCTCATCATCCCTGTGGGGGTCGCCTGGGGGGTGGCATATTTGGGGGCGGTCCCGCAAGAAGGGCGTAGAAAGTGCTGTTTGAAACAGGATCCGTTTCTTTTGCTGCCTTACACTGGGCAAACCCAGGATGCTTGTTCTATGAACATTCAAGGTCAAACACATATATATATATATATATTAAAACAAAAAAACTGCTCCTCCCACCGCCCAAACGTTCTTTGTGCAAACTGCCCCCTGAACACCCGACTCTAGTTTTGGTCTACCTTAGTCTCCAGACGTGGCCCCGGAAGATTCGAGAATGGTTGATGGGGGCCCCTGCCACATTGCAAATAAACCACTCCACCAAAAAGCCGTATATGTTTAACTACTGTCACTGGTGGATATGAATCCCCACCAAAATGATGTCCACCAAAGGGCCACTAATGAAAAAAACAAATAAACAAACACATGCCACACAGTTCAACTACCGCAAATCAGGGGTCCGTCTGTTCCCCTATGGTAAATTAGAGCGTCTCCTTGGGCTTTTTTTAGGGCACACACCCGCATGTTCCGGAGAACCCGAAAAACCACCACGATGGCCTAGTAGCAGCCCAGCCATCGGCATGATGAAGATGCAGGCGAAGCTGTGAGACTTGGGTAGGCGACTGGGTGCCTCTTGGCTTCAGGGCTGCCCAAACTTGGGGTTCTTCTTGCCCAGCGACTTTTCCCCGTTAAAACGGGCAGTTTGAGAGTTGGGAACCTCCTCCACAACGGTTGGTGGACAGAAATCCGCAACATGATGTCCACCAAAAGGGTCCCCAATCAAAGCTGATCAAATCCACTGAAAGGAAAGAAACGCTCCAAGGAGACCTTCCGAATTCCCAGTGGCCCTGGGACAATCAGGGGGGCACTCATGTATTTGTTGATTTTGAAGGGAATCGCCTCCAAAAAAAGGGCCCAAAAAAGAAGCACTGCGGAGTCTGTCAAAACCTGGACTCCAAATTGGCTTCAGAATAGCTGACAGCTGCGATCCGAGCAACGGCGGAGCGCCACCAGTCGTGTTCCCAGGTCCAATGGTGAGCCTGGCGCTTCGCACGTGGCGTCTTGGGTTTGCCCGGGTCCATTGGGAGCCGGTAGCCGCACCTTTTGACACAACAAAAACGGGCGCTTGTTCGGCGAACAAAGGCCAATGGTGGGGCGCGGGGCCCGATATGTTCACTCTCGTCTTGTCACTTTACTTGCGTTGAACTGCTGGACGGTTCTTAGTCCATGAACCCGCGGTATTCGCCAAAGGCCACAAGAAGACCATGGTGCAAAACATGTTTTTGTTAGTTAAAAAAAGAAAAAACTCGGCTGCGAGGGAGAAGCAAACCATGGGCAAGGGTCAAGCTCCAAGCTCCAGCATGAGAAAACACCTCACTTCTTGAGTGGATTGGCCCAACGTAACCAAACTTTGTCTTTGCCACTAAAATGGTCCATGCCCAAAAAGTGGCAAAAGTCCAGCAACTCGGGAAGTGACACAGTGCGATACGACCCCCGCCGCGGGAGCGGTGAGCTGGAAGCAAATCACCAGCAAGCACAGCTGCAGCATCAGGCAGATGTGTGAGGGTAGCGCGAACCTCGCAGAAAATGGGGAGGGTTGTGGCGTGTTCCTTTTGGTTGGTTGGTTGGTTGGTTGGTCGGTTGGCTACCAAGTTGCTGCTTATCCTGGACTTACACAAGCCTGTGGCATGATGCGTCTGGTGAGGATTGCCAACAAATAAGGACGAGTCTTCATGTGAAACATGAGCCGCGGTGCAAGCCCTCGGAACTGACCATCGCCTGGATCTGATCCACCCAGAACAAACCCGCCTGAAGAAATCCGACGCCCTCGCGCCCGAACGAGAATCCCCCCTGTCAGGAGCTTGTTTCGGTATAGGTAACCTTTTGTTTGGGTTCCATAATATGGGGTTGAAATGGAGGGGAAGCCACATTTATGGAGTGGTGTCAAGTCGCTTTTCCCTTTAAACAACCCAACAAAAATGGCCCCTCAAAAAGCAGTGATCCAGTTGCCCCAACCAGTTTCTGACCAAGAGGTAAACAATTGGTCGGCTCGGCTTTTCCTTGTGGTTCCTTTTCAAACGGGGAAACCGAGGAGAAAAAAAACACAAAACACACGGCACACATATGACACTCAGCGTATAGATTCTAGAATACGGCTTGGATGTGGCTTTTGTGGATCCACTCCCTGCAGAATATGTTCGGAGAGTACTAAACTAAAAGATTCCGAGTACATATGAGTGAAATCCACTTGCAAAAGGTGCAGCCAAACCGCTTTGTTGAGAGATTTCCGAACATATTTCGACCATGGCCCTGAAAAAGTCGAGAGACCGTTGTGCAAAGGAGCAGCCGCATCAGCGGGTTTGGGACGTCGCCCATAGTGTGACCCCTCTGCAAGAAGCTTTTCCAACTTTTGGTGGGTTGAGTTCGGGAAACCGACTTGATCTCAAGCAACCAGTTAGAGTCTAAAGACCTCTTAGCCTGCTACCCCAATTCTGAGTCGTTCAGTGACCCTGGGAAAAAAAGGGAACCGTCTTTGGGGAAGACCACTTTTAGAGGGGCAGCAAAAAAAGGGGGGAAAAAGGGGGCCACTGAAGAACTGAGAGTTGCAATCAAGATGGTGAAGGTTCCTGTACCCTCCCCCAAACATGGAAGCTCCCAGGTCCTTTGGAAGACTGGAATCCACATACACAGCCCTTTTGGGAGCTTCCATGTTCTGAGGGACTGTAGGGGTCTGCGGAGGTCTGCTCCAAGGGGCGAGCGGACGATCCTCAGCTCCGCCAGCTGGCCCTCCAAGTACTTCCCTCGGGAGCTCTTGGATCGGGCAAAGTTCATGTTGACCCCACTGTGGTTCCACCAAGAGGACCCCCCCAAAACACTAACCTAAAAAGGACACCTATGCATGTTACTTCTGTGGATGGTTGCGAAATCCGTTTCGCATCACTTTGAAACCGTGTTTGAAACCATTCTTTGTTGGTATTTACCGGGG